AGTAGTCATTTACTAAAAATTTATTTTAGATTAATTATCATCTTTCAATTTTAATCGAAGGACAAATATTTCTTTTTCTCATTTTATAGTTATTGTTATCTCTTAAAATCTTTTCTTTATACTTATTTTTAACAATGCATCTTTTCTCCCATATTTATATTGACAATGCTATGATTATAATGTTACATAACATTGTTAAGATTACAATTATGACATAGTATAAATATAACGTGGTATAAATATGACGTGATATTAAATAAATAAATATACATAATATCAAAAGTAAATCTCTAAATAAAATGAGTTAATTATATAATAATATATCATATTATAAATTTATAATATTATATAACATTACAACTATATTATTTTCTAAGCAATTTCCTCAAGTGAAAATTAATCTTCAACAACCGAACAAGACTTCAACCAAACACTTATCTTGTCCATCCTGTTCTTTCAACAACCTGCTTTAGTTATATTGTTATGATGATAAAGGTAAACGCTTTCCTCAAGTTTTCCTCACGAAACCAATAATTAAAATGGTTAGTCTTATAGTTTTATGGACAATCATCTATACAAAGTCATAAATATTTAACTTTCCACACGTTAACCACCACCAAACCAACGTGTAGAAAGCAGGAAATTGTCGAATATTGTAAAACGTGTTATAAGTGTTAGAAAAGAATAGATTGAGAACTGGATGAAGAGTGACGGTATTCTTCGCAGAAATTGCATTAGATATACAGTGCTGTGCTATTCTATTCTGTACAATGATTTTCTTCGTTCTCTGATTTTTCATCATCTCTAATTGCTCAGTCTTCTTGATTTCACACGTGTAAGAGCAGGTCCGAGGTGCCCAACCTCGGACGTATGACAGTAATTCCTTTACAACCAGAGTGAAGAGTAAATCCAGAGCTTCCCGCTCGAACAGCTACACAGCAGTTATGATGGACGTCCTTGCATCTAAATATATCTCAATCTCCCGGTCCCGAAATAACCGTCTAGAGATACACATCAGATCCCGAATATCTTGCGTGGCTTAATTTCCCGGTCCCGAAATAACTGCTTGGAGATACACATCAGATCCCGAGCATTTTGCTTGGCATGCCACGTGGGTTCTTCATCGGAACATATAAATACCCCGCAAGGGCCACGCCAAAAGGTAATTAAAACCAACCCTTAGCTCCTTGTTTCTCCACCCTAAAGGTAGCCCCGATTATTGCTGACTTAAGCATCGGAGTGTCTACCCCGAGGACCTGCCTCGGGGCTTTGCAAGTCAATTCGGAGTGCATACGTGGACTGAAGAAGGACATCTGGTTTGGTGCAATTACATCTGGCGCCGTCTGTGGGAAACCGAATTGAAAGCTCTTTTGTCGCTCTCTCATCATGGTTCATACTCGATCAGCCCGAGCTGGAAACTCATCTCAGCCTCTTGGACGAGGTCAAGCCCCCAGCAACCTACCACCTCCCCCCCCCCAACCCCTGATCCCAAATACGTTCCCTCCTGTTGATCATGCAGAAGGAGAAGATGAAAACCAACCACACAACTCAGCCCATAACTCAGTTTCCGCTGCCAACCAAGACTTAGTTGCAGTTCAACTCGCTAACATGCAACAACAGTTTGGTGTTTTTCAGCTAGTATTGGCTTAGCTTTTAGCCCGGAACAACCCTGGTGACCCCCTCATCAATTTACTTAACCCTGCTCCACAACCCCCAGCCCCACAGCAAAAACCCGAACCAGTTCAGCATGCTCCTGCTCTTAGTGAATCCCAGGGTCAATCTCATGTAGCACCGGCTCAACAACCCCCTCATCATGATGTCTCTCGACGATTAGACAGCTTAGAAAAGCTAGTGGCAGAGCAGCGAGGTGTCCCCCCACCACATCATGCTGCTGACTCCATACCTCACCCCCTGAACACCAACATCACTCTAGAACCCTACCCCGCTGGCTTCAAGATACCACAACTCGAGACATATGATGGGACGAAGGATCCCGATGATCACCTAAACGCTTTGATATGCAAAATCTTTCCCTCTACTCTCCGGGGTAATGCCCAAACTTGGTATTACAGTCTACCTCCGAGGTCAATCAGCTCTTATACAGAAATGGCATCTGCTTTTGCCACTAAGTTTTCCAGTCGAAGGTTGATCAGGAAAACCACTTCTGAGTTGATGCGAGTCAAACAGAGGGATGGTGAATCTTTGAAGAACTATATGAGCAGATTCAATGATGCAGTACTGGAGGTTAACTCCTTTGACCAGGCCGTGGGAATTACAGCTGTGATCTCTGGTCTTAGCCATGAAAGATTCAGGGACAGTTTGCTCAAACACCCTGCCACCACCTTTAGTGAGGTGAATGACAGGTCTCTGAAATTTATAACTGCTGAGGAATATGCCCTGTCGCAGAACTCAATTCCCTCCAAGAGCCAAAACCCAGATTGGAGAGATGAGAATCCAAGTAGGAAACGGATGAGGACAGCACCGAACCGAGGTCCGATGTCGACCTCCATACCAAGATTCGGAAGGCCGAACTCAACACCCCCACAGCAGTCTACAGGTAAACCTCCAGTTACTTGGACCCCTTTTAACTTGCCAAGGTCACAGATTTTCATGTAGATTAAGAACAAGATGGACTTAAGGCGTCCTGGTCCAATGAAAACTGCCGCTGTTAGCCGCGACCATACCAGGTATTGTGATTTTCATCAGGATCACCGTCATACCAAAGAACAATGCAACAGTCTACGGTCCGAACTGGAAAGTCTAGCTCAAAAGAGATTGTTGAATGAGTACATCCAGAGGGCTGAACAGCCAAGGTTTGTCAGAGAACAGGGGCCACAGCCCCAAGCAGTCCGTAATCCACCAAACAGGCAAGGGGTAGGGCATCAACAAGCCCCACCTCCACTACCCCCGCCAGCCAGAATTATACACATGATTACGGGAGGCCTAGAAGCAGGTGGACTGAGCTCTAAACAACGAAAGCTATATGTCAGGGAGGTTAAACATCAGAGCCAAGCTCAGAAACGGAAGTTTGACGATGCCGAGTGAAAGAATCAACCCATTACTTTCACATCTGCTGATTTTGACACAGTTGTTACACCCCACAATGATTCCTTGGTCACTTCTATCCTGATTAACAACTGTGAAGTACAGCGTGTCCTTGTTGACACCGGGAGTGTGCCAGACATCATGTACTTCCACTGTTTTGAGAGTCTCGGACTAGATCCAGCGTTGTTGCAGAGATATGATGGTCCCATCTATGGTTTCAACAACCAACCAGTTCAAGTGGAAGGAGTTCTTACACTCCATGTTGCTTTTGGGCGAGGCCGCACCTATGTGACTCCTTCAGTCCGATTTCTGGTAGTCAAGATGGCGTCCTCTTTCAACATTGTTATTGGCCGACCCACATTGACTGAAATCCGAGCTGTGGTTTCCCAGTCTCACCTCTGCATGAAGTTCCCAACACCTATGGGAATAGCAACACTGCGAGGCAACCAGGAGGTGGCTAGACATTGCTATATCACCTCGGTAACGCAACCTAAGAAGGGCAAAGATCAGACACCCGAGGTCATCCCCCAACGGGTTCCTAACAATCAGCAAGTTATGGGTGTTGAGATAGTAGATAACCGCCCAGAAGATGAAACCAGAGCTGCTCCAGTCGAAGATGTTGAAGAAGTGCCCATTGATGATAGAGATCCAAGCCGTAAGATGCAAATTGGAACTCGATTGAATCCGGAGGAAAGAGCAGACCTAATAGCTTTTCTCCGAGCTAATAGTGATGTCTTCGCATGGACTTCAACAGACATGCCTAGAATTCCAAATTCGGTATCTCAACATAAACTCAGCACCAGTCCACTGAAGAAACCAGTGGCCTAGAAGCGACGTCTCTTTGAGGGGGAGAGGCTTCAGACTATAAAGGAAGAGGTAGAGAAACTCTTACAAGCTGGTTTCGTCAGAAAAGTTGATTATTGTGAATGGGTGGCTAACCCAGTTCTGGTGAAGAAGGCAAATGGGAAATGGCGGATGTGCATTGACTACACGAATCTTAACCAAGCCTGCCCCAAGGATTGCTATCCAATGCCAAACATTGACAAGCTGGTTGAGGCAGCTTCTGAAAACGAGAGGTTAAGTCTCTTGGATGCATACTCAGGCTACCACCAGGTCCCAATGGCTCCTGAGGATGAAGAAAAAACCTCGTTCTATGCTGGCGATGAGATCTATTGCTATGTAATGATGCCCTTCGGCTTGAAGAACGCAGGTGCCACTTACTAGAAGATGGTTACCATCGTATTCCGAGTTCAGATAGGATGGAATCTAGAAGTTTATGTTGATGATATAGTGGTGAAGAGTTTGAAAGCTGACGATCACTTAACCGACCTTGAGGAGACATTCAACAATCTCAGACAGAATAGAATGAGGTTAAACCTAGCCAAATGCATCTTTGGCGTGGAGTCTGGAAAATTCTTGGGTTTCATGGTTTCCCGGAGAGGGATTGAGGTCAATCCAGAGAAGATCAGAGCAATTGCCGAGATGGAACCGCCGAAGTTAGTGAAGGATATACAGAGGTTGACTGGAAGGGTAGCAACTCTTCATCGGTTCATATCGAAGTCAGCAGATAAGTGCCTACCATTTTTCAAGATTATGAGGTCAGCTGCCCAGAATGATGAATCAGGTAAACAGAAGAAGTTTGAGTGGACTCAAGAATGCCAAGCCGCATTCGACGGGCTGAAGTCTTATCTTAGCTCACCACCTCTACTGACTAAAGCCAAAGATGGAGAAATCCTCTATTTATATCTGGGAATTTCAGATGAAGTCATTAGTTCGGTTCTGGTAAGAGAAGAAGCCAAGCAGCAGAAACCAATATATTATATCAGCAGTGTGCTGCATGGAGCCGAGCTGAGGTATCCTATAGCTGAGAAAGCAGCCTTATTAGTTGTCACTTCGGCCAGGAAGTTGAGGCCATATTTCCAGTCGCACCCGATCATTGTTCTTACAAACCAACCCCTTCGACAAATTCTGCAAAAGCCTGAGTGTTCTGGAAGATTAATTAAGTGGGCAGTAGAACTGGGGGAATTTGAGATAACATTTCAGCAGAGATCTGCAATCCGAGCTCAGGCACTGGCAGATTTTATTGTAGAATGCACTCCAAGTAATTCCATTCCTACTCCGGAGCCCAATGACTGGACCTTATATGTTGATAGGGCATCTAGTAGCAAAGGTTCAGGAGCTGGTGCTCTCTTGATCGGCCCAGATGGATACCGAAGTAAACATGCTTTGAAATTTAACTTCGATGCAACAAACAACATGGCTGAGTATGAAGCCCTACTACTTGGTCTGCAGCTAGCATTGGAATTAAAACTCAGTGCGATCCAAGTATACAGTGACTCCCAGCTGGTGGTGAACCAAATTAACTCAATCTGCGAAGTTGTTGATCCTGTGATGGTGAAATATGTAGCTCTGGTGGCCGAGCTGAAGTGTAAATTCCAAAAATTCTGTCTGAGCAAAATCCCCCGAACTGAGAATGAACAAGCAGATTCACTCTCTAAGTTTGCCTCTGATAGTTCTTCACATTCCAGATCAGTTTTTGTGGAGGTCTTAGATGAAGCCACGGGTGATGGAGATCAGCACAGACCCAGGCACACCGAGCTGGACTGACCCAATCCTCTCCTTTTTACGAGACGGGATAGTACCTGAGGACAAGCAGGAGGCAATGAAGTTGAGGAGGAAAGCATCTCGGTATTCACTTGTTGGTGGGGTCCTCTATAAGCGATCTTTCTCTCTACCTCTTCTACGGTGCTTAAGTCCCTACGAAGCGAAGTATGCACTTTGCGAAGTACATGAAGGTGTCAGTGGAAGTCACGTAGGTGCTAGAACTCTAGCTCACAAAGTCTTAAGGCAGGGATATTACTAGCCGAACATGTACAAAGATGCCACTTACTTTGTTCAGAAATGCTTGAAATGCCAGTTCTTTGCGCACCTGACTCACCAGCCTGCAGAAGAGCTCACTACTCTGGTAGCACCATGGCCATTTGCTCAATGGGGGTTGGATCTTTTGCGCCCATTCATGAAAGGGGTTGGTGGTGTAACCCACCTGATTGTTGGTGTAGATTATTTCACAAAATGGGTTGAAACTCGGCCATTATCCAGTCTTACTTCCAAGAAGGTCGAAGACTTTGTTTTTAACTCAATCATCTGCAGATATGGGATCCCGAATCAGATTGTGGCTGATAATGGAACTCAATTTAACTACACCTCTTTTCGAGATTTTTCTTCTAGCTACAGGATCAAATTGCAGTTCACCTCGGTTTACCATCCGGAGTCCAATGGCATGGTCGAATCTGTTAACAAATGCATCTTAGAAGGTTTAAAGCCGAGGTTGGAACAGCACAAGGCCAAATGGGCGGACGAGCTCAACAACGTCCTCTGGGTATACAGAACCATGAGCCGAACTGCCACAGGTATCGTTTCAAACCTGTTCTATTTGATTAATTTTTACATTACTTTACTTCTTCTGCTATGGCTTTACCTTAGAGCAAATATACATAACGCGTAAAGCGCATCCTAAAGTTATAATTAATTGAAATAGCTGAAACACCCTATCATCTGGCCTTTGGTACCGAAGCAGTCATTCCTATCGAGATAGGAGTTCCAAGCTTCAGAGTCACCCATTTCGATGAAGGACAAAATGGACAACTGCTTCGGGAGAACCTTGATCTACTTGATGACGTTAGAGAAGAAGCACGACTTCGAACTCTAGTCTACAAGCAGAAAATAGCAAACTTCTACAACAAACGAGTTCGACCCCGAACATTCAAACTAGGAGACCTTGTTCTCAAGAAAGCTGGTCTAACGGGGTTCGAAACTCGATTCGGCAAGTTGGCACCAAACTGGGAAGGCCCCTACACTGTTGCCGAAGTGCCGCACCCAGGTGCTTATATCCTACGGGACACTGAAGGCAAACGGGTTCCTAGGGTTTGGAATGTCAATAATTTGAAGAAATTCTACCCTTAGCACACTTCTTTCCAGTGAACTTCGTCTCATTTTCATAAGCATCGTCATTTTTTCTTGCTCACTATATATTCGAGCTCAATTTACTTATCTCATTAATGAATTTCACTTCACATCCCGAGTGATTTAGTTACCCTTCTGTACGATGGCAGTAAAATTCTCTCATTTTTTAAGCTAATTCAGTTGTTGGGTTACGATTCTATTACACTCTACATTCGAAGTGACTTACTTCATCCCTTGCTATTTATTTTACTGTCTGAGGACCGTTCCTTCTTTTTATCCGAAGTGACTTACTTAACAGCTATCAAAAAATAATAAGCAAACACCATCACAGTATATCAAACATGTTTCAAAATTTCATAAAATACT